AAGAGAGTTTATGTTTGCTCCTTTCATTTTATTGATAAAAAGCCCACAGAGCTTCACCCCGACCCGGAGCTCTATCTGGGCTATGACCGGGCCCCACCAAAGAAAAGAAGGCAGCTCATCCGGACCACTGTGAGCCAGACAGCTTCCAGCAACATCGACAAAACGGCCGAATCTGTTCCCGGTGAGTGAAATTGAAAATGTGATTTGTCCCCGCTTCACATTTTAATCATGCTTAGCTCTTATCTTTTACTGAATTATATTATTATTAATGTTATAATTGTAATGTTATAATTACTATACTGTGGATGGTGTTAGCATCAGCGCTAGCTGGTTGCAGTGTTATTGTGGATGTTAGTGTATTATTAATTTAATTCCAAAATACTTTATCACTAAGAGAAAGTACTTGATTGGCAGCCAAATCCAAATCTTAAAGACAAAGTGGTTAGTAATTAACATCAGTAGCATGCTAGCAGAGATGTATATGATTTCATGTAACTGTCCGAGAATAGCTTTTTATTTAGCAACCTGGTAAAATTCAGCCCCCAGGGCTGTAAAAGTCTGGGGATTTTGTTAATAAAGAATATGTTGAGTTATTAGAGGCAGGTTATTTGATGGGGCTTAGGAAAATTTAAGGGGGCTAAAGCCCCACTAAAACAGCACTATTGACATTTAAGATGTATCATGTGTGTACGAGTGTGGAATTACAAATTTCCTTCCTAAAACGTAATAAGGTAAGTGACACTTGACAGGTTGTGTTACGCTGATTTGATTTTGTATTTTTGTGTTATTCAGAGTGCACCGTAGATTCACCGTCAGTCATCCCAGACCTGGCTAGCGTCTCCACACAACCTCCTGGGCCACATCTGCACTCAGTCCACACACAGTGGGAGGACCCTTCGCTAAAAGATCATCATCAATACTGCAACACGTCTGGCAGAAAAGATGTCCAGGACAAGACGACTCAGTGTGATGAAGTTGCATTTTTTCTTCTACAAAATGACGCAGACGCTTTGCTGTACACTGGTATAGCGTTAGAAACATTTAACACTCTTGTGTCAGCACTGGAAGGAGATGACAACAATGAATTTACAATGCCTGTACAAGATCAAGTCCTTATAACACTTATGAAAATAAAGACTAATCGTGTCTGCAGCCCTTGAGTTGATGTTATACTGCTGCTCTGCCTTGTGGTGTCTGAAGTTTATCATGCTTAGACGTTTGGGTTGAAGATTCTTTGCTGTCCCAGCATTCCACCTGCGCTGCTCATCTGTACATGCTAGCCCCGTCTTTCCACTGATCACAGCATTCTGGACCTGTAACAATTTAACAGACTTCAGCTATCACTGCTCCTAATAAAATGAAACAAGTTATTTACATCCCTGCTGTTGTCATTTATTTTTTCCTTTTCTGTAAATGTTAGGTTGCCTTGCATCCAGTCTGTACTTTTTTAAAAAACAAATAATATAAAAATACTGTACAGCCTTTTTAATGTTTAATTTTTTGTGACAGTAGATCACAGGCTGCACAATGCTCTGGCTTCCACATGTAAACACAGGCAGACAGGAAGCTCACAGCTTTCGCCCAGTTCAGTGATTCTGATTCAGTGATGTAAATATTCTGATATCCAGATAAGTGATATACCTTCCACAGAATAGCTGCCGCATGACTGCATGATTTTCCCAATCCGGCGATACAGGAACAGCCGACCGTTTCTACCACTCCACTTTCTCTGAGCATGATGCTAAGTGTTAAGCTTGACCAACGCTCTGGCTCGGCTCAACAGCTGCTTTCAGAAAGATAAAGTCGCCTTGTTTCTTGAGCAAAACTGTATCTATTTTGTTGCTGTGGAGGTAATTATACGCCTCTGTGCTTTTATAATTCCGCAATTCCTCGCCATCGACGCCTTCAGAAAAAACAAGGTAATTAATAATATCGATGTAGGTAATTCCGGGCCATGATTTCATATCATCTACCCAGTCCGTGAGAAATGATGGGTGAGACACAGTTAACGACTTATCTTCGCAGCTTTTTAAAACATCCTTGCAATGTATCCACCTCTGATGTGCTGCCATTTACTTCAGGTAAAGGAAACTTTTGTGTCAAAAACATTAAATTGCTAGCAAGTGTGTTAACCCACAAACGTAAACAACAGCGCGGGATCGCGGGCGGAAGTAAACAACCGGCTTCCGCTATGAATTATGGGTAGTGGCGCCAAATCCGGAATAAGGTGGATAATACATCGTTCGACAGACAGAACTTCCGTACTTTCCGCCGTACACTTAGCATCAGTCCAAATATGTCTAATATAATAAACTGGAAAAAAAACATAAACAAGTCGCTTCGCCATATAAGTCGCATCTATTACGCATCACCGCTGAAACGTCACGCTTGTTATGCGTCA